TTTGAACCATGAAGGTGAAGGCGCACTTACTTACAGTCGAGCGGCGCGACTTACCTGCATCGCCGCTGCTGAGGCGCTGCGTCGCAAAGGCGCTGCAAGCGACCTGACCGCCGGGAGAGTCACAAAGCGGTTGCGGTGCGACGGACAGACACCGCAAGCCAACAATCGCGCGAGCATTGCACTGGCATTTGTCTGTAGCTCTTCGAAGAATCGAAACTAGAACATTGAGAACCAGCATTGCTCCTCTAAGAATTAAATTCCGTCTCCTAAAAGATCCGTTCCGTCCCCCATGAGTTAGACATTTTTGTGCCACTTCTTTCTCTATATCTTGCTTACTTTCTCGTTAGATTAAATTTCACAAAATCAACAAAATCATCATAGTGATACTCAGTGAGGATGCCCTCGTTCGGAAATAGGGGTATTATAGTGCGCTAAGTAACAATTACTTGTAACCTCGTACCACTATTTACTTTAATTAAAGCTAATACTCACCTGTAAAGTTGTAATTCCTCTGAACTAGTAAAATACATAAATTATAATAAGAACATTGAGAAGTGTACGCAATGCCCCGTGACAAATACTAAAATGCTCTACAGAGAGCGCGACACAATTCTGGTAGACGACCTAATCGCCAAGAGTTAAATACATCAGAAGAGATTATACGAACACGAGAGTCATCCAACAATTAATTTGCTAAACAACAGTTAACGTGTATATGGACTGAAATGAAGAAAACGTTTTAAAATTATCAAATCTTCAAAAAGAACAATTGTAATTAGATATTTATTTCTGCATGATTTTTCACTTGTTACCATAATATGGTAAAGATATTTTTTTTTACTTGTTACCATATTATTATTAATTATTACATTTACCATATTATATTACATATTGTATATTACATTACTTATTACCGTTTTAAAGGTTCGATAAGTCTATTTTTTTCTTGTAATCATCTTCGTAATTAGCTGATTATGGACTATCGGTACCGTTACAATACCATGCGCAAAATGTGAGCTTTTCTCGATAAAGTGATTTCTTGCACTTCCCAGCTTTTTGGATGACCTGGGAATTTAGCCCAGTTCGTACACAAATTTTGCGGAACAAATCCCAGAGGTGCGATAACTACTGGAACGACCTGTGTTTTTACGCCTTACATTCGACTGATCTCGATTTTCAAACTCTTGTATTTATTATTATTATTATTATTATTATTATTATTATTATTATTATTATTATTATTATTATTATTATCTGTTAAAATTAGTTGAGTGTGTCAATATATACATACACATACATTATAATATCTCGGAATAAACGTTACAAGGTACTAGGTTATGAAGGGAGACTGAAGATGATTCGTTTTTCCCAATGAACACGTGAAAATGTTTAGGTAACGAAGTTACATAGGTGACATTTGCCCCTGACGGATAGGCCACTCATCATTCAATGGTGCTTGACGAGTGCACGAAATCTATTGACTGCGTCCGAACGTCACACACCAGTGCCCACTGCATTATGGCCCATTCACAATGCAAACACAAACATACGCATAACGCAAAGACGTTAACATTAACATAAGTGATAGACTGAAGTTTCCACAATGGCTTGCATAAACGTAAGCAAAATAAGACTTTCTATTAGCTGAGAGACATTCTAGTTTACTATTGATAGGATGTAAGAATCGATTTCGAGGTATCGACTGTGTCCAAGGCCTGGCATTAATTCGTCTACCGACTTCGATCCTATTTCGATACTCGATTTTGAATTAGCGTACTGTGATTGCTTCATTTCTTATGTCTTACTTAAGCATATGCACAGAAGCTTGAAGCTTGCAAGTTTTTAAGTTAACGTCTTACGTGTTATGTTTATGTTTGCATTGTGAATGGGCCTTAAAGAGTTGCCTGCCAATCAGGGGCAAATGCTACGTTTCTAACTTGGTTACATGAAATTCCCCACTGTATGAGTTGTTTTCAAACGTTTTGCTCACTTCAGGTAACAAATTCTGCACACTGCTTCCCTGATTAAAATTAAATTGTTAATAAAAATTAGAACTAAATATTTTCCTGAAAGTAAGGCCATCATGTACATTTTGTTATTCTATACTTACAGTATACAAAGTAATTAACGCAAATTATTTGCACTGCTCACTCTTGAAATTAATGAATTTCATTATGTTTGACAATGTAAGGAAAATTATAGAAAACAAACATATTGATCGTTCAGAAAAGTCAGTGAAATGGATGGGCATGTTTGCTATCACTCAGTTCATCGAATCTCAGCACTAATTTAGAAATGTCAGCACGCATTTCATTCTGGAGATTTGTTCTTGATTTATTTTTTTCTTCATCACCGCCGTGGGAGTTCCCGAAGCTTACTTTTTGAAATGGAAGCTCCTGATTGTATAACAGTGCCCCTTCTTCTCTCCCAAGTACAGAGAAATGTAAACAGGAGAATGGCATAAAGTCGAAGTAAAAGCAGAGAAATTTTGCAATGCATAGCGTACATTCAGGGGTACATCCAGGGGTATCCATCGGATTTTAATGAAATGTCACTGTTTCGCTTCAGAACAATGATTAGTTTAGAAATTCATTGTATGTTGCGCCGTGTCAGTTGCGCCGTGTCAGGCCGATTTCGCGATTAATAAAGGCAGATTCTATTTTAAAGAACAGTCCAAACCCAAAGTTTGCCAGCTGAAGTCACTTGAACAAAACGAAGAAGCCCCGACTACATCAGTAACATATCAAACAGCTTGACTTGTTCATTTCAAGTGTTTTGGTTGAAAAATTTTACGTCATTTTTCTTTGTTTTTAGGGAATTTTTAAAGCAATTTAAGAGAATTTTATTGATCATTTTGGCATTGTTTCAGGTCATCAAAATCCGCCCCCTACCTACAGCCATTGAATGCATTTTTTGAGCGACTTATACGGCATGGTAATCGACCTTTCAGTCATGCCTGATTTAGTACGACTATTCCACGAGTGAAATTATGTCCAACAAAGTTTTAAGTTGCGCTAAAGATTGAAAATAACTGAGAGCAATGTTAAAATCAAAAAGGTTATGTTATAGTACAATCCATGGAGCTATGAATACAAATTCATAGCCCCATGGTCCATACGCTGTTTATCGGACATCGTCACAGCGATCGATGTATACCTCATCCTAAGATAGATGAGTCAGTTTATGATTGGCCAGTAAAAAGAAGCGGTAAGAAAAATCGGATACGAGAAGCAATAAACTTTTTGAGGTTCACCACCCTAATTGGGGCATTTTGTATGTATAGTAAACCACTATTGGTTTTAATTTCACGAGTGAAATAGTCATAGTATTTTGTAGACAGGGAAAGAAATTCCATCTATTCCCGCAATGCGGCTGACCCTACCTCTTTTCTATTGTATCCCCGGTTCGCCCTGCCTCGTTCCATTGTCTGTCAACCACCTGAAAGTACTCGTTCTTACTCACTGACTTTTTCACTAAAAAATATTTATATGTTTTCTTGTTGAGAGCTCCCACCTCCCAAAATTCACTCATGTTGTAACTAAAAGTAAATCTAAGCAAACAAAATATAACACTTGCATTCACATATAATATTTTTGCCATATTGTAAAACTTACTCTTTTTCAAAATGCTTCTTCTCACGTATTTATTAAGAAAAGTTTGAAATTGATCTCTAACGCCTCGCCAAGGCAATTGACATTTGAATATAATTAAAGTTCTTTTAATTGAATAATTTCATTGAATTTGATATTAAACTTTGGGTGTCGGTTCGTTCAGATATTTAATACGTATCAGTTAAATACGTTTGAACAACATTCCCATGTACCGAAGTGAAGTCTAAGCCTACTGAATTGTTTCTAATGGTAAAAAAATGGTATTTATTACTCAAATATGAAAATATTAATTTTATTATTATGGCTCGGAATTGCTTTTCTTGGGGTACGCAAGTACGCAGAAAGTAATCCAATACTTTTTAGTATACATTTTTTTTTTAATTTTCGCACCCCAGCAAGCTGGTGTGCTGCCCTTCTAAAACCATCTCTGTTCCACATAACAAATCCAGGAAAGTTGAATAATACTGCAAAGAGTAGGATTCTAGTTGTCCGATCCTTATTTTCGCATGCAAAACTTTACTTGGCTTTCTAAAGAGTAAGATCCTTTTCTAATATTTTGCGACTATCAAGAAAAGCGAAAAGCTAATAGTTAAGGAAGATTGAATAATTACTTCAAATGTAGTTTTTAAGGAAGTGTGAATTGTTCGAAGAACATATCTCAAAAATACTGTATAAACTTGTATTGAAAATTTGTTTTCAACGTCAATTGCATTGTTTTTATTTTTGTTTGATATTCTGTAAGTACGAAGTTACATTTATTCATTTTTCCACAAATAAACACGTTTAAATAATTTAAAGTTAAACGTGTTTATTATTAATACATTTCCTTCTTAATGAAAGGGATAGGGAAAGGGTGGGTATTAATATGAGAGAGTTCTAGCATGGGTACGCTAGTATTATTAAATAAATATAAGATAGTTTACATACATACATACGTAGATATATACAGATCAGTGGTTGCTGGGCAGTTTTAGTCGAACAAATGCGAATCAAGATGTGGAATTTTGGGAATTTAGCATAATCTGACGCTACAGTTCAAAACTTCTTCCATTTCGATCTAATCGTGTGAGCAGCAATTTCTACTTGGATAAATCGAGAAGGTATTGGTGCAACCGATGGAGCACACTTTTCATTGTTCCATGATGCAACCTTTCCCTCGACTTTGGCTGCCATGCATCAAGGAAAGCGAGCAGTGCCAATGAGAAACTTTTAAAAGTGACACTTTTCAACGGTAACCAACCAAAAATAATATGATAAAAGTGTATTTTAGATGATGATTATTTTTTTTATTTTATTATTTTTTTAAAAAAGAAACTTCATATCTGTTTAAATGGCTTGATTTCTGCCTGCATTTAAAATTCCCGCTAATAATGTGAGGCAAGCTGGTGCATGAAGCTCATTGGCTTAAGCCGGATGGGCTGCGCAACCGCCTCCCAAGACAATGCATCATGCTCCAACTTGCTAAGCAACGCTAAGCAACTTGCCAAGCTGCTACCCAGGCCAAGCTGCTGCTACCTGGCTGCTACTGGCAACCAGCATAGAGCAAAGTGGCCGAGCTCAGCTGATTCAGCTAGCGACAGGCAAGCGACAACCACTGACAAGTTACAACCCTTTAGGAGAGGACGGGTTAAAGGAGGTGCAGTGTGTAGTAATTTCATCTGAATAGATTAAAAGTTATTCTTTTAGGTTAAGTTGTTCATAATACGATTTCATTTTCAAAGATGAAAATTCTTTAAATCCTTCTAAAAATGGATAGCATATTTTCTAGAGCCGAATCGGCTCATGATAAAGATGGTGGTGTAAAATGTGGTTTGGAATCTTTAGAGGTTAAAGACGATCAGTCGTTGAGGAATGAAGCAGTGGGAAGCCAAGATAGTTTTAGCAGTGCCAAACTTGAAAATGATCCAGAAAGTTCTTTTGCCAGATCGGATTCTGATCAAGACCAATACAATGATGATCAAGATAATGACAATGACCATGATCACGATCAGGATCAAGATAATGATGAAACTGGTGACACACACTTGAACAGAGCAGCTAGTGCCTTAGAAGATATTCTAAGTAATACGAGTAGCTTTTCCAAACCAGCAGCAAGTACAAAAAGTGATATGAAAGACAACAGTGAATCTAATGACGCTTTCCATGAGAGTATAATGCTCCCTAAATCGTGCAGTAGTGACAAGAGAGACAAAAAGAAAGAAATGAAAAGTCGGCGCGAATTAGAAGAGGAAGAAAGAGAGAAGATGCAGTTAGTACTTGCCTTAAGTTAAAATACATTTAATTTATGTTTTTATTATTGATGTGATATGCGTTAAAATTTTAAATCTAATTCTTGTACAAATTTGAAAAGTAATAATCTGAAACTTTCTAATCTAAATTTAAATTCAACTGTCATAATAATTTTTTTCAAAAGTGTCATGAATATTACATCAACAAAAAATCAAAACTCTTTTGACATGGGTATTTCTAAGTATCTCATGATATATGAAATTTCAGGGGTTTTTTTAGAGACAAGATTTTTTCTTGTGTATCCTGCACATTCTGTCAATACACTTTGTCCAATTGCAATATTCTTTTCTTTCTGTAGTAATTTCATTGATTTTTTAAAATGTAAAATGATGTTAATTTTCCACCCTCCTCCAGATATATTATCTGTTTACATTCTTTTTAAGGTAAGTTAGTTTTCTATCTGATAAAGTGTAAACTGAAAGCAACTGAACATCAGCTTTCAATAGTTAAAAAAATTAAAGTTTAGAAAAAGATATTGTCATGTCATTTACACGGTTAGATTTTCCATGTAAAATATGTGGTTGAAGTCTAGTATATAGTACAACTTACGAAGCTGTTTAAACCATCACTTCATACTGGTCCAGCGAGGGAGTGTACCATGTACCCTACTTTAACCAGATATGTTTGTCTTGCTTATATTATCCTTTTTCTAATTTCTTAATGGACACAAATTATTCATTAATGTTAAAAGCATAATAAATGCACAATTTGGTTAGTTAAATGAACCTAATTTTTTGAATAAGCTTACTTGTTAGTTGTTAAATTTATGGGTTGTACATGTGTGTGTGTGTGTGTGTGTGTGTCTTTAATAATTCACACACTTGTTTTTTCTTGTAATGTAAGTTGAACATTATGCAAGTTGAAATGCGAAATGTGAATTGTTCCAGAATTCAATGTTTGAGGAAGAAAGAAAGATTTTTAAAGTTTTTCTTGTTAAAAACATAAATAACTAGTGTATGAACATGTTAGTTAACAACCATAAATTTAACTCTCTGCAAGTGTTGAAGGAAAATTTTGTACACTGATATCCAAATTGTGTTTTTTTTAAGTACCTTTTTTAATTATCTTGAGTGCAGGCATTATTACGAGGGTTGAATAATTTGAGAAAGATTTATTTATATTTTTCCAGAATATGGTTATATATTTCTAATTGATTTTATTTGTTTCAGAGTATTAGTTTCAAACTTTACCGAAGAACAGTTGGATAGATATGAAATGTATAGGCGATCTGCATTCCCCAAAGCAGCTATAAAAAGAGTAGGTTTGTTTGGAGTATTTAAATGTTTCACTCCTATGGTTATTTCAATGTTTAGATATCTTCTTTGCTCTGCATTAATGGATAGTATTTCCAATTTTAAGATTTTATTATTTGTGTTGGGTAAAGGGGGTGTCAGTCACTAATGTTGGGAATGGAGGAAGACTGATTAACTTGTAAAAAAAAATGTTTGTTAAGGCTCATTCATAAAAATTAGGATGCAAGATCACATTAATTTGAGCCCCCCCTCCTTCTCTTACAAGAAACGGTAAAATGATGCCATGAATGCCTTTGTAAAATATAGCAGCTTCAACAAACAGAATAAAAGTATCAACAATTTTATTATGTAATAGGAATATGAAAAATGGGGTAATCATACAAATAAATGAAATCAAGAGAATAAAACTATTCAAATTGAAAAACAAACAATTGGGTAGATTTGAAACGAATAAGAATTCCCTTATTTAAAAGAATTAAGATACATAATTTTCTGGAATAAGAATATTTTGTAAGAATGTAATACATGTATGAAAAAAGCATTTAATGTAACAACACAATAAATAAAACCATGTTAAAATGAAAAATTGTGGAACAATATTGATTGTATTTGGAATAATTAGAGTGAATGATCTTGAAATGCTTTTTCTGTATAGACAACACTTAAATTAAGCTTTTAATTGAAAGAGGGAAGTTTGTATGAAAGTGGTGCTAATGAAACAATCTTGAGAATTGGCTTTTGCAAGTTAATGTTGCAGTCCCTTTAATGTCATGAGCAGGAAGGAGAGGGAGTCACTGTCATTCAATGGGAAGTTTCATTACAACATAAATATTGGGAATTCAAGCTCCCAATTGGATGGCAATGTCCCTATTCTTCCAACTCATGAAGAGACACTGTTTTAATCTGAGTAAATTCAGTAACTAAAATGTGCAATGTATTGTTAAAATTTTGCCTTAAAACAGTTGTATGCTTTGTGATAGGGTAGTATGTATTGAGCTGAATCAAAAATTAATTACTCTAGGCTTTAAAACATTAAAATGAGCTAGTGTTTAACAAAGTTGGAGGAGGTATTCTGTGTTAATACCATTTACTGGAATGTCATAAAATAACCAAGATTCATTTTCTCTCCCCATTATTTGCTTAGTAATATTTTTAATGAAAAAGTGTTCAAACAGTGGAGATTCTTTAAATTATTTTATTCTACAAATCTTTCAAACAATTGTGAAGGATGATTTGTAATATACAACATAAGGCTCTTCATGCATTCCACAATGTTTCTTTTTAGTTGTCATAATATGAATAAGTATTGGGAACTACTTCTTAGGGTCATTCTGTATTTAAGAAGTGTACAATTAATATTTATAATGCAAATTACATTTATTTCTCATTTTATAACTTTCAAACTGGAAGAATTCCTTTCTGTATTTACTTCTTCTGAGACCCCGATTTCAATCAGGTTGTTCAAACCGTTTCCCTTGATCAGTTGACCAAATGCTAAATGGTCCATTTCTTTGTTTCTGGACATAAATATAGCTTCAGTATCTGTGCATATTTTGTTGATCTCACTTTGTGCTCATTGTGGGAATGATGTAAGGATCTGGAGTAATTATTTTGTCTACAACACTTTTAAATAAAATCTAATCCATGAATGAAAATGGTTTTCTGATACTTGGGAGCAAAACTGTCAAGGTTTCAAATTATGCTAACCGTGCTTGGTGTCTCCTTTATTGATAATTCATCTATGCATAGGGAGAGACGAAGTGGTGATTCTGAAGTTCAAAGTATGTATTATACTTTTCCCCCAAACAAAACAAAATTTTTACTATTTTTTTCTGGTAAATAAATTGTTAATTGCGGTATATATTTACTGTGTAAACAAAAAAATAATTTAAAATGCATAAGTAAAGAAGTATTGAAAGATTTTTATTTGTTGTTTTATATGTTTAATGGTACTCTTTATTTTGATATTTCCATTGCACATTAATGTATAAACAGAAAATAAAGATCTCACATCAGTAAAGAAATATTTTATTGAAAATTAATAAAAAATTAGTGTGTAATTAGTGTTGGATTTGTCGTATAAAAATCTATGCTGTCTATAAAAAATCTATGTCCTCTAAAAATGAATATTATTCATGTAAAATGTTTAATGCATCTGAAGAATTGTAGAGATATTTTGCTCAAATGCGCAAAAATGTTTCAGCTCATGCAAACTATTACTGGATGCTCTGTGTCTCAGAATGTTGTGATCGCTATGTCTGGCATAGCAAAGGTCTTCGTTGGAGAAATAGTTGAAGAAGGTAATTACAAAATGTTAAAGAAATTTTAATTATGGTTTATTGTAATTACTTTGGTTTATATCGTGTCATAATTAACAGAAAAGAATGAGAAATTTTTAAAGTGAATCAGGATTCAAAATATTGTTTCTATATTTGGCCATGAAAATGTATGATTCTTAAGTGAAGTATTTCATAAAATACTGTTATGTCATTTATAATTAAATTCTCTTATTAAACCAAATCTCATGTATTTTTTCAGCCCTAGATGTTATGGAGACACAAGGAGAGTCTGGTCCATTGCAGCCAAAACATTTACGAGAAGCCATTAGAAGATTAAGGTTAAAGGGACAAATTCCTAATGGACGTCCTCGTAAACCTATGTTCCACTTTTAAAAATACTATTATTTTTATTATTTATTACAACTTTCAGATAACATTGAATTTGTAGAGAATGTTTGGAGATTTTTCAAAGTGGCAGAAGTAAAAACTAATTTAATTTGTTTTTGTTTTGAGGGATTATTTGATATACAACAGAATACAAATACGATAATTTACATAGGCTTAAATACAATTAATTGTAATATTTTCAATGCAAAACACATTGGTTTTGTTATAATTTTCCTTTTCTGATTAATGGCTTACAGTTATTCTGAAAGAATGACATTCTACATCATTCTCTACATGTGTTTTTGAAGGATTTAGTTCTTAGGTAATAGGTCATCAGAGTTTATATATTTGAAAGTGTATGTGTCATGTGAGTTTAATAATTCTTTAAAGTTGTGTTCAGTTGTAAAATAAAAGTGAAACTAATGTACTTGTCTCATATGATTTTATAATAAATGTCAATTTTTAAATGTGAAATATTTCATTGTCCCATTTCCTTTGTTCCTGGTTTTATATCTTTCATATTAGTGTGTCAATAGAATAAATTTTTCACATTTCAAATAGAATAAGCTTTTCTTATTGACCTTAATTTTCTTAAGGAAAGGGGAAGTGGTAGATGTTTGAGAAATAGCCTCAGTTCAAGGTGTCGACAGATTTTATCTTCCTGTGGACTTCGCCCTCTTGGAGGCCATTGGCCTTGAGATAAATAGCATTCAAGTTATCAAAGGAGGGTTTGTCTCAGTGCTGCAGGGTGTAGAATTAAGATGTCATCTCACAAAGTTGTATTTACTTTTGCTGTAATCATATTAGTAGGTAAGTATAAGATGTGTGTGCTGTGAAAAAATGTGAATAAACAGTTCATAGACAATATAAAAGGATTTTTTGTAATGTAAGTAAATGTACTGTGTAATAAATGTGCATAGCATTAATGTATGCATATGTAATTTTAAGGAATTATAATTTTGTAAGTAATTTTTGTTGAAGTTCTGTTATTTTTATTCAGCTGCTTCTTATTGTAATGGATGTGACACAAATCAAACAAGACAAGGTTGCCGAATTCAAAATGGACAGTGTTTGTGTGGAATCGGTTGCTATTCAGAATATCGTTACTCATCTAAAGAAGAATGTCGAAAAGCATTAAGAGGTTGGAACATTTGTAAACTAATATTGTGATGTTCATTTTCCAAAAATTAAGAATGTGTTTGAAAGCTTGTTCTGTCCAAATGAGTTTCCAATTCTTTATCTCATCAACTGTATACAATCTTAGGAAGACGCAATGATGCATGCCAGAACAATCCTTGTGAACATGGTGGGTCCTGCAGCCAAACATCCTTTGAACCTGGCTACAGGTGTCGCTGTGAGGGTACAGGATATTATGGAACTCACTGCCACATAGGTATTGATTGAAAACAATTTTTAGCTAATCTGAGATCTTGAGTTTGAATTGAAGACATATTCATATAAAGTTGCTGAAACTGATAGAGCATGTCTAAAGTGAATTGCATAAAATAATAATGATGAGTGTCTGTATATTCTTAAAACTTTGGAATTGTAATAATACAATGTGTTGAATACATAGCTGCAGAAATTGTGCTATTGTTGATAATGTCTTTTAAATTTTAATGAACTATTAAAATATGCATCTTGCAAGGGTGATTTAATAACATATTAAATTTTTAAATTGATGAATGCAAATTTACAGTAATACTCCGTTCTCTCAATTATTAATTACCTTAGTCTGTACTTTCATTAATTTGGATTTTGTTGTTTTATTGACTTAGATGATACACAAGCCCCTTTAAAATTATAATTTAATAATAATTACAATTTAACATTTATAATTTAATAATTTTTTTCCAAGAACTGCATAAATAGCTGATTATATGTGTAGTTTTGCAAGTATTATTACAACAGTATTTTAGAAGTAATTCGTGAATGTTCATAGTCAAGTTACATGAAATAATTATGTTCTTTGCCATAAATTATGTGTTCTTAAGACTTATTTCTTTTCTGTCAATCAATTAAAATTTTTTATTTCTGCTTTATATGCTAAGAGAGACCCTTTTTTCTCGCTGTTCTGTCAGCTATTCATCTACTGTCATAGTAGAGTACAATAATAATAAAAATAATAAAGACAATTACACCACGATGCGTGCCATATTCATTACAGTGTAGGTGAGGGAGGAGGTCATCTCCTTCCCATTCTTCAATGATTTACCTTTGCCTTCCTCGGGATGAATAATGGTAGAGATTATGACGCAAATAATTAGAGATTCAAGAAACGATGGTTCAAACAGGACACATGGTGGGGTTATAAAATGAAAATTCCATTGCTCAAAGAAAATAATATTGAAGCAAATAGTTTTATTGTTCCTCATTTGTATTACCCTAAAAATACAATTAGTACTTCAGATATAGTCTACACAATTCACAGGAGAATGTTTACATTTACACAGTTCATTACAATATTTCTTTTCTATTAAGGGAGATTTTATAGCAATAATATGAAAATGCATTTCTTGGTGAATATTTTTCTTTTCATACCCAGAACTATAATAATTATCATATTACTTACTTGAAATTGTTGTATATTGTCTAATGTAAGTAAATTATTTTTAGAATAATACAAAAAATTCCACTGTCATGAATTATTTTTTGTTCTATTTTCTTTGAGGTATTTGTGTGCAACATTATATTATTAAATGTTTTTCACATAAGTTGGATATCAATATTACGAATGTTCTTGGTTTACAGCATGTCCAACCCGAGCAACTGTGGCCCGGACTGGTGAAGCTTTCCCCTATGAATGCATTGTAATATGATATTTTATCAAGAAATTCTTAATGAGTTTATGAAGCCAAAAAATATTTAACATTTATTAAATTTTTTGATGATATTTTGTACTTTCAGAGTAATACAATTACTAGTCCCTATTTTATAAAAATAAATTGTTAAAAGAAAGTAATTAGGACTAAACTACGAAGATGAATACCTGGCATTAGTTTTTCTTTTCATCTTTGTAATATTTAAAATATTTTGTACAATCTAGATAATATTTTTCTCATATTGAGTATTTTCTGATTTTATTGTGTTTGTATGAAACTAGTGTTTTTAATAAACTTTTTATTAAATAAGTATGATTACTTATTGGACTTTTTATTTCCAATTTACCCGTATAAAAATCCAAAACCATGATCCGTCTATATTATGTAGTTCAAAAATTTGGCGGTAAAAATTTCTGATCGAAACAAATTCTTGATTTGCGTCAAGGTGTTTAGTGTTTAAATAAACTGACTAGGGTTGAGATTATATTCCGCATATTTATTTCGTGTCGTTTCAGTGGTTCAATATATTTAATTTTTTCGAGACCGTTTAAAAAGGTTTCATAACATATACCATCAACAACTACGTGGGTCCTTCAATACATGAGCGGGAAATGTATTGTTCATTCTCAGAGGAGCGAAAATAAAATATAATCAATTCAGTATATTAAATTACTGTGACAACATTAATGAAAATCACGATGTCCGTTGCTTGGACTTTATTACGTTTCCTTAGATATATCTCTGTCGGAATCGACGATGCGCTTCTGAATGGAATGTTTTTTTGTTTTTTCCCCTCGAATATATTTTTTAATGATACTCTTAAATTGTTTTACATGAAGTCTAGTATTATTTTTCCATATTCACACATGTTAGAAAGTTCAACGTACATTAGTTACAACGTTCGGGGCGTGATAACGCGTTGCACAGAAATGACGGACTTTTTTCGGTTTCTTTGAAGGTAGCGAAAATATGAAATGCAAAGTCGAAAGTACGTACCATCGCATATTTAGTAGTTTGTTGTATTCAGATGTTTTAGTTTAGTTATTGTAATATTTTTTTGCGTTAACTTCTCAGTTCAAAGAACGTAGTGTAGGTTCTTGGGCTGAAGCTGATAAAAATAGACGAGTAAGGCCCTGTGGGTCTGCCAAATGGGCTGGGAGCAGGCGTGCAATAGAATGAGTAGTTAATAGGCATCGAGTTTCCTTTGGGCTGTATTGTCTTCCGCAAAGAGCTGTTGCTCTTTGTTATGTACCTGCATGGCTGGGTGCAGGTGCAGAACATTTTAGGGTAGAGATGTTGGTTCATAATATAACTAATTGAAGTGTCCAGACCAATGTGTTTTCCTGCCTCATTCTCAAAATGAATAATTTATCTAAGATGTGTGGGACTGAAGAAAAAAAAAGGAGTTACAGTCATGATTTTTTCTTGTGGTTTATATGGTGTTACAGTGATTGTTGTGTGGGGGCTGTGGTCGCATGGTCATGGACCCATGGTTATTCCGCCCCCCAGTTTTGGTGGGAGAACGTGTTGTGTGGCTTGGAAGTGGATCAGGGCTGCCTCAGGGTGGTGTGGTACGATGGATAGGAAAATTACCAGAGATGGGTCCTGACTGGACTGTAGGTTTACAACTGGTGAGTACATGTCAAGCATTCTTTCAAGATGTTCTTTTTTTCCCCACCTCTGATCTAAATGTTTCCTCAAGAGATTTTGAGTCAGCATATCAATAGTTGTGGTGTTATGACAGTTGTTTAGGATGTATAACTGTTTATCTCTTTAAATTATTATAGGTCATTAATAAAATGTATTACTAGGCATTGTACAGCAGGTAGGAGAAACTTCCTATGACCTGCATGAAAAAAAAGGGATAAAGATAAGAAAAATAATATCTTAATTTTATGACTCAATTTATTTTATTTTTTGTGAGCAGCCCATCAGTAAGATATGGGATTTTTGCTTTACTATAAATTAGTTGGAAAAAGTGTATTTACCTCATAAATACTATTATTATGTATTTGTATTATAATTTATTACTTTTTGCATTTTTAAAAATTTTATTTAACATCAAAAAGAGTTTGTGTGACATACTATGGGGGGAAGTGTATTCTGTGCAGGTATTTTAAATTTCTGTGAACTCTTCCTAAGCCATATACAAAATGAACTCTAAATAAATACTTTCTAAATTTCACTACATTCTTTCATTTATGTTATTTCAACTTTATGCGATTTTAATTCGCAACACCAAAAATGTGAAGTATGTGATAGAATGTCAAATTCCTCGTGTGTCATGAGTGGTTACATCAAAATATTGTTGCTGTGAAAGTTTTCCCAACCCTCATGTGTTCTAGGACAATCCTCTTCCATATGGAGGAATTGATGGAACATGGGGAAATCGCCATCTTTTCACTTGCGAACCCAAACATGGATTGATTGTGCCCATCACCAAGACTGTAAGGGAAGCAGATTTGTTGAGCTGGCCTTTCAACTCTCACGGTAAGTATTTAAATAGTTCAAGTAAAGAATGTTGGCAAACATTAATTACTTACTAATGAAAATATAGTTGAAAGAAGGAGGCAAATGGGAAATCTATTTAAGTGATGTATGTATGAATACTTGCATTGTTAGAAACAGCTTCAGAAACTTTTAAAAAATTATTCACGAATTCAAGATTTGAGGAGAAGACTGTTGACTCTTGCCCACAGAAAGTAATGCAGTTATGATCAAAGAAAACCTTTTTGGTACATTCAAAATTGGTATTATTGTGATCTCAACATATGTCCCTTATGTGTAATAACTTTCAAAAGGTTTTTAGTATCTAATGATCAGTTTAAAGACTAGTTTATTAATGTTAGAATTCCACAAATCTATATCAATCTACATTAATATAACTATTTTTGTTCTAAGAATGTTCTCTACTTGCAGAAGAATCATCAACAACACAGCTTTTTATATCACTTTGCTTCACTGTGATTTTTATCCCATCTTATTGTTGATATTGGTTATTAACCATGGAATTCAATTACAATTCAATTTTAATTCTGAATAAAACAACTCAAATGATTTTCCACAAAGTTGCATGCACGTGGTTCAAGAACAGCAAATGCAGTTCTTTCGAAAAAAACAACAAAAACAAACACACTGACAAATGAAATATATTAACAAACATAGTCTTCACAAATACTGCAATAACATGGTATCGTACGCATACAATTAAACAGTTCTGGTTCCACAAAGAATATAAAAAATGTTCAATTAAGTAACAAGTGAAAAGGATATATTAAATGGCGGTCACCTCTTTCTTGGCATCTTCCTGACGCGTGACATGTATGACGGAAGCAGTGGGTATGAGAATTTCGTTGGTACGCGCAGTATGTGAATAGTCGAAATAATACAATCAGATAATTGCATTTTTCAGTCAGAATCGAAACTTTCATTGTTTTGGAATGTTTCGCGAGTTCCTGGACATACAAGTATTTCGAGACCATACATACTTATCTAAAGGCGGGAAGCTGCAATTTAACTTTTAATTTCTGCCTTCGTCAGGAATTAGTAGTATATATCTTGGGCGTGGAGTAATCATGTAATTTGGAAAAGTGAATGGTAAAAACTAACAAAGAAACCGAAAAGCGTGTAACGCTGTGTTCAACAATTTTGTGTACTCACATTTGTTATGTATTAATTTTTTTTAAAAAAATGTAATTGTTAATCGTTTCAGAAATATTTTTGTTTTATTTCATTTAAGTTGGTACAGGCGTTTTTATCGGCCTAAGGTTGAAAATCCAGCGTTCGGGGCCGAGTGCACAAAAAGTTCCCTTCCCATTTCCCGCGTCTCCTGGCGGTGGCGGGCGGCAGCTGCGCGCGCGGCGAGGACGCGTGCGTGCGCCTAGGCCTTTGACATGTGGCCCTTGGCCTGGGGCCCTCGTTTTCGGCGGAAGATTATTTCTCGGCGCCGAGGCCGCTTGGCCCAGTTTCGGGGGCGGTGAGGGAGTTCTCTTCGAGAACTGCGGTCGTAGGTGATAGTGCACTCCGATCTTTGGAGGGTACCCAGAGGCGTAACTGGGTATTCAGGCGCCCGTGGCAAGCCTATAATTTACACCACTGTAAGGATTTTTCAAATTAGGTTAGTTTCAGCAAATGTACTCTAAATAGCGCCCCTTGTGCATGGCGCCCATGGCATGTGCTATGTCTGCTACACTGTAGATACACCTCTGATGGTACCCCTGTCTATTCTCGTGATCTAAGGGCACTTATTCTAATATCCAATTGATCAGGTTTGTATGCCTGAAGTAAAGATATAAAGAGAGCAGTCGCGGATCCAGGGAGGTACCATGGGGTTCATGGCCTCCTCAAAAGAGCTAGTTTTCATTTGTTACCTTCTATTATTAGGCAAAATTGATTCAAATATTTGTTAAAATTACGTAATTATTAAAAAATAATTGTGTATAGTATCACGTATACACTACGAAAACAATAGACAATGTAATAACAAATGTTTATTATTTAACAAAAATCTATGATGACCCCCCTACAAAATGATCGACTGGATCCACTCCTGAGACGGAGCAGGAGAAGAGAAAGAAGTAATTTAATGATGTTCGTCACAAAGTGCACGGCTTTATATTGACTATGTTTTATGGAATAAATCCTCGAAAACTTAATGAAAAGAAGTTTTGGTATTTAGAAGTTACCATTTGCATTTCGAGATTTTGCTGCGATATATTGATGAATGCATGATAGAGGGTATGTTGTATAGTTCTCTTCGTACTTGACGATTGAGTGCACAATCTGCGCGAGTCCACAAGGAAAAAGGAGGCGGTGTGCCAGATGATGATGGTTTCGCTCGAAATAACGAAACGCTTAGTAAGCGCTACTTAGCCGGAAGGTAGCTATTGTTATTTTGCTATGCCCACTGCCTGTCACTCTCGGAATGGAAATAGACTCTCCGCGCTCAGGTGCAGGTCAGGAAGTAGGGGCGCCCAGAGAAAGCCAGGGGCATGAGGCAGTAGATCGACAGCGGTCTCGAACTCCAAACAAAAGTTCCACCTCTCGCCTTGTATATAAAAATAATGTATTTCTCCATGCAACAGAAACAACTTCTCGCGGTTAATTAAAATTAAAATTTTAAAAATGTTTTGAATGAAAAAAAAAATAGTATATCGGGACCTGGGGTAAGTTTTCCCATCTTCGTCGCCCCCTCCGCCTTCAGGACCCTTGAAGAAATTTGGCAGAAGAGTGGAAGGTTGCCGTTGATCAGCCGCCGCCCGTTCTTCTTTCACCTTCTCCCTTTCGTGTCTTACCTTCTCACTAGGATATGTTATATCCATATTTCTGTATTATGTACTATCAGTATTGCTAGCTTTTTGAAAGTAAAATTTTAATTTATTGTAGTTTACAATGTAATTATGACGTATATTTGAAGATTACGTCAGTGGCACATACTTTTGACAGTGCAATTTCACGTAGGACCGACACTCTGTACTTATTTTTAAAACTATTAAATATTATTAGATTGAAATTTTAAAAAAAAATGTAAATTATAATGGGAATACGCCTTTTGAAGAAATGGAATCGATATGTCGCAAGTTTTTTTAAAATTAAATTGAGTAAAATGATACAATAATGATTGGCTTTAGGAGGAGAGGGTATGGTCCCCGTGGCCTCCCTAGGATATGTCACTGTGTCTGTAACATTGGTTGAAACGCAACTTTGTTGTTCGGATTCGCTTATTTCCTTCCTCTTGTCGTTTGCGAGTTTCAACTAATGCTTTTTTTATCCGCCTTTCAACTTCCCTCTCGAGCTCGCATCTCGTGTGTGAAGGGAAACGTCCGGTTGCCGAATACGAACTTTTGATACCGGTTGCACCCATAGTGACGAATCTGACTGGGGTCGAGGACTGTGTTTTTTGGTGCGGAAATGATAAAACGAAAAATATGCTGAAGTGATAACAAATACTTAGGAATCAATGATGATGCATTGACGTTACTAGATCACCCCTAGCGTCATTTGCTAATGATTTAGGAAGTCTTCGAATCGTGTTTTCCTTGTCAATCGGATCGGCAATTATTAACAACCTTTGATCCTGCAGTATCCGCGAACGTCGCCACCTCTAGCGCTGTATCCACTACTGAATCTGTATTCTCTGCCGCTAGTCTTCGCCGCTACTCCCATTGACGCGGTATCACCTACCCGCTGCCGCCGCTATCGACGTCGCTGCAGCTACTTCCATCACCATTGCCTCCTCCCCTCCTCCTTCGCGTCCTTTCCTAGTGACCTAAGCAGCCTGCTTTATCAACGCAACCTTCAACTGCTTCACCCCTCCGCTTCCGCTGCGCTTTGACGAAGGGCAGACCCATTTAAAAACACCCTGGGCGACTGGAGCTTCAGCCGCGTCATTGCGCGTGAGCGGAACCATCTCTACACGTACCGACAGCTGGTTGTTTTTTTTAGATCATTCACTGTCCTACTTCATGGCATTTTGCCCGATGCTTTCTAATATATGACATGTATCACAAGACCAATCTTTTGGAAGCACTTCGCACACAAGTTTCGAATTACTTTAGGGACCTTACCGCATATTTCTGTTTATTTTCTTTCACTTTCTATAACTTGGAAAAAGTTCGAGGTTTACATACGACATATATGCGTACTTGGTTGAAAATCCATAGAGATCGGATTTGAAGCTTGCGAATCTAATCGATCTTATGGTAATTTATGACAAAAAGACGATTAACGAACATTTTGAGCTGTTTTGACCGTTTACCTATGATTTTGGGGTGTTACCTCCACATGATTAAATGCACTGACGTAAAACTGAGGTTTTTAAAAGAAACAGCGAGCTTGGTATGCCTAGTGTTGCGATGCAATTTATGAAATTACATGAACTTCAATTTTGAAGTATCAAATCTAAATTGAAATACTATTAGAAGAGAGAAGAAATACGTGTGTAAATTTTACCCTTGGAGATATTTATCACAAAATTCAGCAGGAGCTGCCTGTGAGTGACATATGACTCCACTACCAACCTGAAAATCTGGTAAGCTTCGACTCGGAGAAGCGACCCCAATCAGGTTATTGGGTGGATGTTCTTGTGTTCTGGTGTATTCGGATACGGTGTATCTTTGCGCACCTACGGGGGGATAAAGATAAGGCAGAAAGTTAGGCGCCTGCCATCGTACCTGAGAACCCCCTGGTACTTACAAAGCAGTCTTGAAAGTTGCACGCATTTTCTGTATTAATAGTGGCACTACGCTTCGAGCCTTATCTGCATCCCGGACGACGTGACTTGGGAGTGCCCGATGCTGCACTGGATCGGCACTGCACGGACGGACGGACGGACGGACGGACGGACGGACGGCAGTTGTTCGGGTCGTGCGCTCTAGGACGGGACGGCACGGACACTTCGGGCATTTCGCGTTGTGTCTTGTATTACGTGCGACGGCTTCATAATTGAAGTAAAGAAGCAATCGCATTGGGTTCTTTTTTAATAGCTGAAG